GAAAGAGTGCTCTGCTGTTCTGTGTTTCCAGCTCCCACCCTGCTGATCCTGTGTCACTGCTACTCTGTAATATGTTTTGCTTTCCTTGTAAAAAGAGAAAAGAAAGAAAAAGAAAAGAAGAAATGTTTTGCTTTGGTTATTTTTTAACCCTGTGAAGGTTCCTGTGCTGTCTGTGCTTGCTTTCCCATTTCCACTGTGTTGTACTGGTAACTCCTTTCTGCAAAATGGTGCTAATTGCTGACTGAGCTCCTGTTCCCTGACTGCTTTGCACACTGATCACCTGCTGCTTCATTTGCCACGACACCTCCAGTGTCAAAAAAAAAAACCATGGCTCCCATGAGTTCCACAAACTCTTGCCTCTTGGAGGCAGGTAGGAAGTGTCTAATTACTATTTTGTGGCCTGGGTTTGGTTGCCTATCACCAATTGTCTCCTGTAATGTGTGAAGCACACCTCCTCATGGTGCTTTCTCATTCTTGCTGTCCTGATGAGAGTGACACACACACACACACACACACAAACACCCACACAAATTAATGTATAGCCAATTGATTGTGACGTGCTTGTGATCTTTGCTTGCTCAAAGGGTCTCTTTCTTTTTTTTCCAATGATAAATAAATGCTAAAGACAAACACCACCTCCTTGATCTTGTTTTCTCAATAAGAAGCACAGTGAAGGGAAAGAAACTCCCTTCCTGTCATCAGATTGGTGGTGCTTGGAGCCACCACCACTTCCATGCCCACCACAGGGACAACTGAGTTGTCACAGTGTGGCTCCCTTTAGGTGGCTGCTGACCTCAGGGTAGCCTGACATGAGAGCTAAGCATTTGCAAAGGTGAAGATGGACAGTGAAGATGTGGACAGAGCAGGTAGCTGGGTTTTATTTTATATAAATACATATATTTAGTGTCTGGAGCTGAGGGCTGGTGCTGCTGCACCTTGCTCGTGTCCACGTTGCACTGGATCAGGGAGCAGGAACCCCTCCAGAGCTGGAGGGAGGGGAGGTGCTGTGGATGAGGTCACTTAATTACAAACCCTTTGCCAGCTGCCTAGAGCTCTTGCTTTGGCCCAAAACCACCTGAAGGTCCCATCAGAGGGGTCAAGGGCCCATAAAACCCCGTTGAAAGGAGGTGGCAAGTTCTTGGGTCGAGAACTTGCAGAAGCCTAGACACAGGTGAACAGGCACTTGGCAGTGTCTGTGGAGCTGCAAAGCACTGATTTTACCTTCCTGAAAGCAGTGACTGTCTAGAGAAAATGATGGTAGAGAAGAAAGCAAAGCCAAGAGCACCATTTCATTTTAAGTGGAGAACACTGATCTGAATTTAATCTCTTCTCTCTTTTTTTTTTTTCTTTTAGTTAGCCCCTAAGATCCTCTCTACAGTTGTTATTTTTAATCATGTTTTTTCTTTTAATGGATATTCCAGTAACATCCCCAGCAGCACAGGGAAATTTGTCTGCATGGGGGTTGTATTTGGAAATCTCTCCTCCAGCATTAGCTCTGCTGACTCCCTTGGAGCACCAGCCCTGCTCTCCTGGTACCATTTCTGG